GAGTATCTCTGTAGTATATCTCTGCGGTATTACTCGAGTATCTCTGTTGTATATCTCTGCGGTATTACTCGAGTATCTCTGCGGTATTACTGAGTATTTTCTGTCCGTAGGGAACTTCCTCACAGGTGGAGTTGGAAACAGCTGGCTGGACATTTACTGCTTAAAGGGTCAGTTCATTAAATAAATCGGTAGAAGAAGTAAACTGAGTGTCGGTGCAGAACCTCATTCACGTGTGTGTGTGTCGTCCTCAGGTTAACAGCTGTGGTGGCTCTTCCTTTCTACTGTGCGAGCCTCATAGAGACCGTCCAGGTGATTATTGATTATTCAATAATTATTTAGTATGGAGCTCCGATCAGCTGTCTTGTTATTTGAATCAGAATCTGCTTCTGTTGTCAGAGTCTGCTGCACATTTCATATTTGCTCGTTGTTCCTCCTCAGAGTGAGATCGTCCGTGACGACTCGTCGTCCGGGCTGCTGGATTGCGTCCGTGAAGGTTTGACTCGTCTGTTGGGCGTCGGCGCTCCTCACAGTCACCGTCTGCTTCCTCTCAGCTCTCTGCTGCTTCCCACCGCGCTGCACGCCATCCTGCGCTACGCCATCGCCGCCTCCGTCCAGCGGGTGGCGCTGTGGTTCCACCAGCGAGGAAGGAAGCAGCGCACCGACCCGTCCAACCCGCTGGACGCCTACTTCCCTGAGCTGGCGGCGGCGTGGGCGGGGTCTCTGGTGGCCGACGTGCTGCTGTTTCCTCTGGAGACGGCGCTGCACCGCCTCAGCCTGCAGGGAACGCGCACCATCATCGACGCCACCGACGGCGTGGTCGCCCTGGGTAACGTGGGCAGCCCGCTGGTCCTGCCCGTCAACTCTCAGTACGACGGCTTCTCCGAATGTCTGCACGCCATCCGCCGCAAGGAGGGAACCGCCGGGTTCTACCGCGGCTTCGGAGCGCTGGCGACGCAGTACGCGCTTCACGGGGCGCTGCTCGCCGCCGCCAGGACGCTGCTGAGGCTGCTGCTGCTGGAGGGGGGGGGGTAGCTAGTTACCACAGAGACACAGCTTCACTTCCAAAGTTCAAATTATTCTGTCACCATGACAACGAAAAAATTCTGTTTCTCTTTACGAGAAAAGTGTTAAAACCACGTTATAACACGTCGTTATAACAACGTGTCATCACACGTCGTACGACTCACACTTCAGCTCCTTTCAGTTCTTACACACTTCTGCTGTTTCTCCTGCAATCGCATCATATTTCCTCCATGTTTAGCCTAGCTTAGCACAAAGACTGGAAACATAGGGAAACTGTTAGCATAGCTTAGCACAAAGACTAGAAACGTTAGTGTAGCTCCATCAAAACAAAAATAAATCCACTTTCCAACAACACAAGGTCGGATTCACATGTCGACTCTGAACGTTTGTCACGTCGTGATGTCACTTCCTGCCTTCAAACCAAATGTGGTGGTTATGTTGCCATGGAAATGCAGTGTCACTTCCTGTTCCAGCGTGACCTCATGACAACGTGGTGAAAGTAAACATAATAGAAGTACTGACATGAATACCTTCAGAGTAAAACACCAACAACAGCTGATTTAAATAAATAAACGTGAAGCCACTTTTTATTTGTATAAAGTTGTAAAAATGGAAAATCTATTAAAAGAAATGTAGCATTAGATTAAATTATGTGATCCATAAATATTCCAATCAAGATTGATCAGTTAAATCAGAGATTTTTCAAAATAAATGTTTGGAAAATCAGTGGAAGATTTTCAACATAAAGTTAAAGCGTTTATCTTTTTAAAATCACTGAGCCTGTACTTGTTCATATTTTGTTGTTTGTTGTAAATGTTGAAACTTTGTGTCGCAGAAAAATAAAATCTGAACTTAAAAATGTGTTTTCACTTAAAATAAAACAAAATGGGTTCTCGTGGAGACTAAGCTTCTTGGTCAATTTAATCAACAAATAAAAGATAATTTATACAAATACATTTGAATATACACATGTTACCACAACATGCTTTAAAAGGAATACATGTTCAAAAGGTTACTGTGTAGTTTATTGGTTTGACATAATTGAAAATGATCTTTTGTGATTATTTTGGTTAAATGTTTTACTTGTTCCAGACAAGTTGTGTTATTGATTATTATTTTTAATAAATGTGTTATTTATTATATTTCCCTTTCTCCATCCATCCATCCATCCATCCATCCATTTTCCATCGCTTTGGGGTGACTGTGGCTCACTGGCTTAAGAGGGTTATCTGGGAACCGGAAGATCAACGGCTCGATTCTCGACTGGGACGTGTCACGTGTCGTAGTGTCCCTGAGCAAGACACTGAACCCCCGGCTCCCATTGGCAGCCCACTGCTCCCTATATACAGGGATGGGTCAAATGCAGAGACAAATTTCCCCCTTAAAGGGATCAATATAGTATAATAAATTAAATTTTAAATAAAAAATTATCCGGGGTGGCAGCAGGCCAAGCAGGCTGACCCAGACCACCGACATGTTCCAGCTCATTCTGATGTAATCTCTCCAGCGTGTTCTGGGTCTTCCCCGGGGTCTCTTCCCAGTTGGAAAACCTCCAGTGGGAGGCGTCCAGGAGGCATCCTAATTAGATGCTGAACCTTTCGACGCGAAGGAGTAGCGGCTCGACTCCAAGTTCCCTCCTGATTTCCCTTTTTATTTTTTATTAAAATGATTTTATTAAAATGATTAAAAATCTATATATTTAAAAATATTTTTTATCATTGACCAGTTTAAAATAACCTTAATATTTATGTTATTTCTATTTTCTGTTTTCCTGATTCAAACGGAACCTTCGTCCTCAGAGCGGAACCTTCATGTGAGCGCTCGTTGTTTACAGTCGGACTCAGTTGCTCGGTGCTCCGCCATGTGTTGTCTCTCTCGGTTCAGCTCCGTCTCTCCGGTTCGTTGGTCCGTTTGTTAGTTGTGTTTATTCGGTGAACTCCTCCGTTATTACCGGACATGCCGAGCGGCGGCAGCTCTTTGTTCTCCGGGTTCCGGGTTCTGGGTCTTTATTCCAACCACGTGCCGCACGCGCTTCGGTACCACAAGAAGCACCGCGAGTTCTACGTGGTGACGGCGGTCGGTCAGTGTTTCCACACGTACAACGTAAGACACTTTATTTACTGTCGATTAAAGTCTGTGCGCGTGTGAGTGAGTGAGTGTTTGTTTGAGTGCGTGCGTGCGTG